TTTTTTTTTGACAAAAGGTTACAATATTATTCAGCACTAACTAATTGTACAAATATAATTAAGTGTGGAGCCACCCAATGGCTAATAATTTATATGAATACTACCCTTTTTTAATGTATTGCACATACACAAAAGATACACTTTTATTGTAAATTTTTTAACTATTGTTTCTTTTAAGTTTATGTTTAGTTTATTTGTAACTCATAACATGTTTATATTTATATGATCTCATTACAAGGCTAAAGAAATTATGTTCATATGTATATAAAAAAAATAATTAATAATCGTCAAACAACTTTGAAATCCTCATATTGTTATTGAAATCAAGGGCTTTTGGAACCATCCTTCTCCTTTGTCACTCTCCGCTCACCGATAGCTATACATCCTCAAATTCACGATCATCTGAAACCCTAGAAATCTCCAATTTTCCCTAAAAACGCTAGTACTCGGATGACCCTTCATCTTTCAACTGTGATCCTCCACTCTAGAAGGTGTTCGGGGAAAGTAAAATCAAATTCACAACTGCCATGCAAAAAAATCATGTCCCACTTTTTTCCTCCTCAGCCGATACATTTGGAGCACGAATTAAGCTCCAGGGAAATAGCCCGGTTGGGTTCGCTTGCTATGATGTTCAAGTGGATGTCTCGCTTCCCATACAGAGGGAATTGAATGTTTTGCTGGAAAAATACCGAGAAGACGAAGGAGATCGATGTGTGATGAGGCAATCTGTGATAAGAAGAGGTAGTGGACGCAGTAGAGAAGACGAAGGAGATTGCTGCGTTTGATGAGGCGATATGTGAATGCATGATGAGAAGAGTGGAAAAGGCGGCAAACGAGGAGGAAGAATGAAAGGTGTAAGTAAACAAGATAAACAATATTGGTATAATTAATATTAGTATAATTACAAATAAAACTTGGGGGTTTTGGAGTGTTTATAAATAAAAATTATGTTTAATATTATATATATATATGCAATTATTTAGTAATAACCGATACGTGTAAAAGAGCCTTGATTTTATAGAAACAAACTCATAGGCCCATTATCTATTTTTCTTCTTTTTTTTTTTTTTTTTTTT